CAAATGCATATGAAAAACTTGTTGTTATCTATTCTTAAGCAATATATCATAACTCCTAAGTAACAGCTCAAAAATTCTGATGCGATCGAAATCCATCTTCGTGATCAGAATCAACATGTACTTCCTTTAAGTTTCTTCACTTTTCTTTGATTCTTAAAGCATCAACATGTGACCCAGTCACATCATGTAATGAGAATCTCATAATAGAAACTTAACAGAGTTAGATAGTGGACTTTTACCTGAAGAAGAGTCAAACTTCTTGACTTGATCACCCTTATGATCTTTCAGGTAAATAGGCAGCTTCGCAATCAATGCCCCTTTCTTTGGCAAGATAAACATATGGACTCTTTGGTAATGGGACTATCTCAGACTTAGCCTTTCTCTTTACCATTTGGTCAACCTAGTTGACTATGGTCAAACCCTTTCTTTGGGATGAGAAGGCTTTTCTAGATATCCGATGTTACCATTGTCAATGTACATTGGGAAGTTGATCTCCTAATCAAATTGCTTTACTAGTCCTCAAATCATTGTTGACCAAGCAAATAGATAAGATCATTAAGGTTCATGTCATAGTCTGTTTCATAGTAGTCCCAAAGGAACTCACTAAGTGACTTAGAAAGTGATTGAACATCCAACCTTCTTAAGACTTTGACACCCAACTCTCCCGGCTTGTCAATATGTGACTTCATCTCCAAGATGCGATCACACATAGACCTTGCTTGCCAATAGGGATTGAGTGACCTTAAACTTTTCAAGAACTTGTGGGTTAGGGAGAATAACTGGAGGAGGTGAAAGAAGTAAAGTTCTAAGAGATTTGGGAAGATCATAGATGTCTGAACTTAGACATCTTTTGGGAGATATTCAAGATAGTTGATCTAAAGTCCTTAATATGACACCCAATATGAAATATTAAGGCTAGGACCCAACAAACTATTTTATAACTTAGAAGAGGGATGCCGTAATCCAAGCTATAAAATATTTGAAGGTAGGTGAATGACGATTCACCAATTTCCACCAAGATAAACGAAATGTATTATTAGGTTTTAATTGGATTTGAAACTCCTAGATCTTTTGAGATTCATTGAACTTTTCAATGGCATGTTTCAATCTCGAGTGTGCCCTTCAGGTTTTGTGACTGGGATGTCGAGGATCACAAAACAAGGTGTGAAGTAACCATGCAAATTACTTGGTACCCTCAAGTGTTTACCCCTCAATCGATGTGCCGGTTAACCACACACGCTCCATCGATACTATGATAAACATTAAGTTACCCTTTGCCTACCTTGTTAAGTCCAGGTTACTGTGTCGGTTAACCACACACGCTCCACTAACGTCTTAAACAAAGTGCAAAGTGTAATTTCATGGATTAGCACCTTATTCACATTTTCCTAAGTAACTAAGATTGGGAATTTGTAAGTGTTCAGTTACTTAGTATTTATCATTAATACTTTTAATGAAGGGATAATTATAGTCCTTGTCCTACCTGTTCGGCTAACGACCCTCCACCAGTCAAGGAAGCGGTGGGTGAGAGTAGACACCCATTAAGCTGCCATTTTATAGGCAACAACCTTATACCCCCCTTATAGACCGGCTTCGTGAATGAGGCCTACTAATGGTAAGACTGACTTTACTCTTATACATATATATAAATATTATTAACTTATAATATTATAAAGTATAAGGGTTGAATTTTAACTTTTAAAATTCTAAGGGCTAACTTGGAATTAAAGTATTCATAAGTGAAAAATTTTCAAATTCCAAAACTTGAGGGCAAGTTTTGAAACTATTCAAAACTAATTAATTACATAACTTATGTGTTTAAAGCAGTTTTAATTAAAAGACTCTTCAAGTTCCATAACTTGAGGACAAGTTATGGAAGACTTTAAACTAATAAAAGAATGTAACTTTTCTTTATTTTGTAACTTATGGAATTAATTAAGGTTACATATTTTATTACTTAATGAAGTGACTCTTGAATCTCCATAACTTGAGGACAAGACTCTTCATTTTTGTAACCATTGCCAACTTTTATGAGTTTTATGAAACTTAAATGTGACTTTTCATATAACTTGAGGACAAGTTACAAAAACACATTTTAGAATCAACTCTTAGATTAAAATGGATTGAAAACACATAATCAATTAACTTTTCTATTAATCTAAGCAACTCATATGAACAAGATAATTGGAATCAAACTTTTTCATGTAATTAGCATAACACTTAAACTAATACAAAACATGAATCTATTGACAATTATCTTTGAAATTGGATTAGCATGAACATTACCACATCAAAAACAAGTTTATAAGTTCAAAAACAACTTATGGTAATGTTCCTAGTCCAATTCCAGCCAAAACAGTCGAAGATATGTTGTCTCGGACACAAACTCGTCGAGTTCTTATAGGAAACTCGTCGAGTTCATGCCTTAACACATGAACTCGTCGAGTTTTCTGTCTGGACAGATTCTCAGCCTTGAAAAATAAGTTGCATCAAGTATAATTGAAAACAGCCCTAGGCTCTGATACCACTGTTGGGTTTTGAGCATTCTAACACTCCTATGGTGTACATGCAACCCTAAATACCTTGGATCTATGTTTTCTCTAATATACATGCAAATGCTAATATTCCAAGGTATTACCCTATCTAGCATACAATCATAGATACTTGGGTAATAATATAGATAAAATACATACCTTTTGTAGTGTAGCTTGACTCCATGGGGCTTGAGTGCCTAGTGCCTCAAATGTGACACCTCAAATGGCTCACACAACATCAAATGCTCTTGTAATAACTTAGAGAGAAATCCACACTACAAGAAATCGGCTAGCCCTTCTTTTTCACACACTAGTGGCCGATTTTGGTGAATAATATGATGCTTATATAGTATGTTACAATTACGGTTACACCATGTAAACCCTAATTGTCATGACCTTTGATTTCCATGACCCATGGGTTAAGTAACCTCCATGGAGCATCCATGGAGTATCCTATGGTTTAACCCAACTTGATTATCCATGGAGCTTTGGCCCACTATATAAGTTATGGATGATTTACACAATCAACCCATATATTTAATTAGTCTTCTTTTGATCACATAATTAATTCTAAATTAATTCTTGATCAATACTAATTAAATATTATTATTCTTATTATTAATATATGAGAACCTATAATATATTAATAACCATAAGTGTCTTATTTCTCTCATTTAGTCTATCCAAGTGCATGATGCCATGCAACCCAAATGGACCATGCCTGGTCGGGTCAAGTACATACCAAATATAGTTATTTTCTTAGACACTAATCCAACAAATCATACAATGTGGTCGGGTATAATTCATAACTCCAATCCAACGGTCCAAAACGCGGGTCCCGACAAGTCCCAAACTAAAGTATCCAAGATTAGGGTTTTCTAAACCCTAATTAGGGTGTCCAACCCAATTACATGCCAACTAGGTCCAAGGTTAAGTTTTTAGGATAATTAGAGCTTCACTAGGTCAGGCACCACCCACTGCCACCTCGGGCAGTGGTGGTCGACGGCGGTCCACCGCTGCAGCCGCCACCTCACGACGGTGGTGGTGGCGATTTTTGCCAATAATCCATACACTAAACCGTACATGATTAATCTCACACCAATACATACATATACATACACACAACTACCTAACGTGGTGGTTGGCGGCGGTAGGAGGTGGCAACCACCACCTCACGACGGTGGTGATGGTTTTTCTTGATTTTCCGGCCGAGATACACCCATACAACATCATGAATACCGAAAACAACATACACACGCGAAACACATATACTCTCAGCCACCTACTAGGCAGCTGACGACGCAGGAATAAAACAGAAACGACAACCAAAGGACGACGGCGGTAGAAAACGACGTACACAACTCCACACTCACAGAAGGGAATGAAGAAGGGGAGATATGAGTTGCGGTTTAGCATTATCGAAAGCTTCCGGTCGTTCACGACCTACACTTCGTCATTTACAGCTCCATTCTTCGGTCTCGATGGTCCTTCCTGCCACTCACGGCGTCACCGGCAGCAGGGGCTGTGGTGGTGGTGTTCGACGACAAGGTAGCAGGGGGTAAGGTGACGGTCGGACTCGACAAGGCAGGCGACGACTGAGAAGACTCTGAAAATGGTGGTGACTGGAGAGATATAGCTAGGGTTAGGGTTTGTACAAGGAAAACGAAGGGGAAGGGGAGTCGGGTTTAATCCCATGCCTACTTTCAAACTTAAATCCCTTTTTCCAAGTTTGGTCCCACTCCACAAGATCTTTTTCAGATTAAATCCAAAATTTACCAAACATCCCTTGCCTTCTAAAATTCTTTACAAGACCACTCCGAAAATTACAATTAACCCCAATATTAAAAAAATTATGACATTTAACTCCCGAAACCAACACTCTGCTAACTTGATTTTTCGTCAAAAGAAATCACCATCAAATTACATCTCGAAGTTAAAGGTTATTTTCGAAACGACTGTTACAATGTTGGTGAGACCTATATATAAAAAGTTATTAATTAGGATAATATAGTTAGGTACCAATAAAAACATAACATAAAGACGATCCAAATTATAAAAAAAGGGACCAAAAATGCAAACAACCCAACATCGGATGGACCATTGGTATAATTTACTTTAAAACAAGACAAAATTGCAAAAATGGTCCCTGTGGTATGCATTTTTTTGGGGTTTTAGTCCAAACCTCGACTTTTTTGGATCGGTGGTCCTTATGAGCTGGTTTGCTTGTAGTTTTGGTCCCTCAGAAAACTGAAAATACTAAAATACCCTTGAGGTATTTCTTTTTCATTTTTCTTTCATTTTTTATCTATTTTTATAATTAAAAAATTAAGAAACTCTCTCTCTCTCTCTCTCTCTCTCTCTCTCTCTTCTAATCGACCCTCTCAAATAAACCATTGAAGACTCAATTTTTTCGATGATCTCCACCCTTGAATAACCCATCATCATCGACGATTCTTCCTTCCAGCTATGACGTATCAATCCAGCCAAAAAGACATCACAAATGATTTTAAAATGCAAAGAATCGGGAACTTTCTCATCCGTGCTTCGAGAAGTGATAGGGTTGGGTTTAATTTGATGTTGAGGGAGGGCATTTCGCCTAATGTGCAGGATTATGATAACATAACTGCTCTTCATCTAGCTGCCAGTGAAGGTCATGATTCGATTATAGAGCTTCTTCTACACTACAAGGTCGATGTTAATCTCGATGATAGATGGCACAAAACTGTAAGAATTGGGTTTTCGTTGTTAACTTTTTTAGGGTTTCGAAATTGGATTGTCGATTGGAATTGGATGATAAGATCTAACAACAATTAATGTCTTACAACACGGGAAGGAGACGAACGGGATGACGACAGTGGGGAACCGGGAAAACATCACCCGGTGATTCTAGTTCTTCGAACAGGGGAAGGAGGCGAACGGGATGACAGTCGTTGAGAGGGCTGTGAAGGGGTATCGGGACAGTATAACAGCAATTCTGGGGGTGTTTGACAGTGAGTGCTCGGTGGAAATAGGCGGAGAAGGTTGGGACTGCCTCATTTGAGTTTGTGGACTGTCTCATTTGAGGTTGCATTCTTCTTGTTCTTCCATATGATGAAGATAACTAAGAGGATGAAGATGAAGATGGCTACTGGAAGAAGGGCTAGAAGTAGGTGGTATGCGATACTTTCACCATGCCTCATGTTAGAGACTAAATTATTAAGAAGCGTTCTACACTCTTTGTGGTGGATACAGATGAAATATTTTTGTTGAATTTTCTTTTGGTTTGACGAGGGAGAGGTAGAAGATGAGAAAAATCAAGGAGAGAGAGAGAGAGAGAGAGAGAGAGAGAGAGAGAATGGGCCTAAACTAATTATTTATTCTTTTTTCATTTAAATTAAATAGAAAAAACATAAAATATATATCAGAAGGGCATTATAGTCATTTCAATTTTACGAGAGACCAAATTTACGTACAAACATGGCCAAAAAGACCACGAATCCAAAAAAAAATAACATCTATATAAAAAAAAATAACAATAATAATAATAATAATAATAATAATAATATAAAAAAATAACATCTATATTTTGCAACTTTGAATAATATAAAAACAACCCCCATATGGAAATCAATAGGAAGTCGGAACTACAGATCAAAACAATCAGGGAGTAGCCACATTAGACCTATTATCCTCCCGACGACGGCCGATTATCAGAAGATTCCGACGGCCGTAAATCACTAATCATCCTAACAACTTCCTCCATCGACGGTCTCATATCCGGAACCCTAGTCACACACGCAAGCCCAATCTGAAGCATCTGCACCATCTCCTCCTCCACATGTTGTTCCTTCATTAATTCCACATCAAACACCTCCGCCGTCCATTCCTCCCGAACCACCGACCGGACCCACCGCGGCAAATCAACCACCTCCTCTTGACTGGACGACGGGAGCGGAAGCGGAGCTTTTCCGGTCAAGATCTCAAGAAGCAGGACTCCGAAACTGTAAACATCGGATTTGTGTGTGAATTTTCGGGTTTCGATTACCTCCGGAGCGTAGTATCCAATGAATCGGGATTTTGTTGGGAGGAAGTTCATCAGTGGAGCTAACCCTAGATCCGATACGCAACCCTCGAGGTGTTTGGTGAGAAGAATGTTCGATGATTTGATGTTGCCATGGCTGAATTTCGCGCCTCCTTCTGAGTGGATATGAGCGATGCCTTTTGCGGATTCGAGTGAGATCTTTACTCTTGAATCCCAATTTAATGGTGTTCTTCCCATGCCTCTGTTACCTATTCAAATAATTTAAAAAATCATAAGAACTAAACTAACACATTGTAAGATGTTGGGGAAGATGATTTTGTATACCGTGTAGGAGTGAGGAGAGGCTGCCGGAGTACATATACTCGTAAACAAGAAGCTTTTCATCCTTGGAGAAGTAATAAGCGCACACCGGAACAATATTCGGGTGTTTTCCGATCCTCCCTACAAACTCCATATGCTGCTCAAATTCCTTCTTCGCCACCCCAATTTCTCGAATTCGTTTCACCACCACCGTCGTTTCTTCATCCAGAATCGCCTTATACGCTGTCCCATAGCTTCCTTTTCCGAGAACCTCCGCCGACGCTCTCAACAGATCTTCAAGATCGAAGTTATAACCACTTCCATCGAGAAAAACCAACTTATTCTTCTCCGCCGCCTGAACTCCGCTTCCAAAGTCATCGGACTTTTCATTTTTCCCAGCCGTCACTGCTTTGACTTTCAACGAACGGACTGAATCTTCGTCGTTTTTCTTCTTCAAACAACAAACGAAGAAGATAGCGAGTAGAATTAGTACAAACAATCCTCCTATTGCGATTCCGATGATAGCTCCGGTACTGAGTTTCTTATGTTTCGCCGGAGATGGGAGACTGATCGGAGAAGAAGAAGATGAACATAGACTTAGAGGTTGTCCACATAAGAATGAGTTCCCTTCGAATGAAGAAACTGGAAATTTCTGGAGGGGTTCAGGGATTGAACCGGTTAAGGTGTTGTAGCTAACGTTTAGGAGTCGTAACCTAGTGAGGTTAAACTCGGGAACGGCGCCGGAAAACGAATTGAACTGGAGGTTCAATGAGGTGAGACGAGTGAGATTTTTTATCTCCGGCGGAATGTCGCCGGAGAAGGAATTGAAGGAGAGATCTAGAACAGTTATTTTAGGGGAAAGAGGAAGAGGAATGTTACCGGAGAAGTTATTATGTTGAAGGTAGAGAGATTGAAGAGAAGGAATAGACGGAATATCAGAAGGAAGATTCCCGGTGAGAAAGTTGGAACGGAGGCTGAGGATTTTGAGTGCGTCTAGTTTTCCGATGGTATTTAGCGGAATCCGGCCGTAAAGTCCGACGCCGGGGAGATGAACGGCGGTGACACGTGTTCCGGCGTCGTTACATTTAACTCCAAACCACGAATTGCAAATCGGGATAGTGGAATTCCAGTTGAGTTTTCTGAGGTGTGGCACTGATGAAGCGAACTTAAGGAGAGCTTCAGTATCGGAGCTCAGATCAGCAATGGTGATGTGAAGATTTAGGAGAATGAAAATGGCGACTGATAATAATCGATGCTTGATTGAGTTTTCCATTAATGGATCTCGTGATTGAACACCTAAATGAAGAAGAAGAAGAAAAATATATACGTAAATTTGTTTACATAAAGCAGAGAATAATTGTTTGAACTTTAGTTTTTTCAGAAGGAAGTGGAACTTAAATGTTTTAAAAAATGGAACTTTAGTTAAGATCTTTTTATATATTCAAATTTTATTCCAACAATTAAAGATTGTTTGTGATAGTGGAGAACAAAATTATGTTACAAAAAACAAAATAAAGGAATTCGGTGATAAGGAGAATCTAACCTAAAAAGAAAAAGATGAAACACTAATTAAAAGAAGAAGAAAAAAAAGCGAAGTGCACTTCTTTTTTTGCAAAAAGCAAAACATATTCTTGGATATAAAGCAAAATTCAATAAATTTCAAAATGTTATGTGTTACTAGTTACTTAGTTAGGAGGTAATAAACTTTTAAAATTGTATAAAAAAAAATACCATAAACCATTGTTCATTTGTTTGTACAAAAATTACTAATAAACTATATTATTTATTACACATATGAACTAAAGTTAATTATTTGTTCAAAAAACATCAACAAATTATATCATTTGTACATATTATTGGGTAGGTGATGAAATTGTGTTTTTTGAACATATTATTGGGTAGGTGATGAAATTGTGTTTTTTGAACAAATGGTTATATGTATCAAATGCAATATTTGTTGGTATTTTTTGTATAAAACAAAATTAAATGGTATTTTTATACAATTTTCAAAACTTTGTTACCATTCTCACTCATTTTCCTTTACATGAATTGGCTTCAAGATTTAATCTTTCCTCTACGTGTACATGCAGATATAAAAATGGACAAAATAATATTTAAAAGCTTCCATGATTATCAACTATCAATAATATGGTTACAGGATTCTGTTTGTTTTTAGGGTTAATTCAGAACAAAAAAAAAAGGATTGAATTTGACCTAATGTAGCAGCCTTTTATTATTTAAAATGCATATCTATGGCTGTTTTCAAATCTTCCAATGTCTCTAATGCAGCAGCCTTTAATTAATAAAATCACCTAACGACAAACAAAATCCGCCTTCCTGGATTTGAATTTTCTTCAAATCATAACCACAATCAACAGAAACAAATAAACAATCAAAAAGCGATTAATTAAGTTAAACCATTGATCACTATCAGCTATCAACGAGATCTAGAAACAATTACCTGTATAACCAAAACGGTGAAATCAACAACAAATCAATGAATCGGAATCCAGCAAGAGCTCGCGATCGACTTCAATGGAAGCTAAACATAAACAAAATAAAACACCAAAAAATGTATCACGAATCAATGTAGATTCTTCTATTTGCTGAAAAGTGTTGATTTTTAAGCTTTTTCTCCAACGGTATTCTACTGAAACTTGTTCAACACTTAAAATCGCCGGCGAAATCGAGTAAAGAAAGAGAGAGAAAGCTGAAATTGATTGTAAATTTAAAGATGTCGGTGCATTAAAATGGTGTTTAATTTTACTAACCGTTGGAAGAATTCTGTATCTTCGTTTCTCAATTCGCATTACTTGCGACTAAAAAATAGTTTGAACTGAAATTGGGGAATTTCTTTTTCCCCGTTTTCCTTCGTTTGTTGAGTTCATATTTTTAATTTATATCTATGTCCCTTTCTCCTTTCGGCGACTTTCTTTTACTCCGTACAACTTCCACCAAAGATACAGCAGATACAACGAAAATACTTACAAGCTGTTATTTGTTTTGATTTAATTTAGTAGTTTTAAAAGGTATATTAAAGTTTTACTTAACAAAAGTTAATGAAGTACAAAAATATTGAGATGTCGATAACTTTATAAACGAGCTAAATAACAAAAATAGCCTTTTATTTTGAAATTTGAAATATTACACTTTCTCATAAATGTCACATTTTGGATTAGTTAGTTGGGGGTGGTCTGTCCATACAACATAAATATGTTTCAGAATCTCAAAGGGACATTTCAAACCGACATCGTATATTCTGGACTCACATGAGGCTGGACGGTATGTGAGTATGGGCTCAGCTAGGAGCTCGGCGACTTCGGCGCACACCGGGCCGACCCCTCGGCTTGGTATCTCGGTGAGTAAATGTCGAGTTTGACTATGTTGAGTGGACCAATGGGGAGGCTGCAACGGCTACTTCCATTTTTTAAACCTCCTATAAATACTACAACCCTTAACCATTTTAATTCATCAAAATCAATTTACAACTCATATACACTCTCTCAAAATGTCGTCTTCGTCATCTTCATCGAGCATGTTTGATGTCTTGCTTGAAACGACCATAGAGGTTATTCAGGAGGCGGAAGAGATGATCGAGCAACTACAACAAGAAAATGCGGAGAATGCACGTCGGAGGAAGAGAAGATACATACAAAGATTTCGTGAGGCGGCAAATGAACGACTCATGCAAGATTACTTTGTGGCTGACACCAACTTTATAAGATATTATTTTCGTCGTCGGTTCCGTATGCATAAATCTCTGTTTTTGCGTATAGTCAACGACGTCACGACAACGTGTCCATTTTTTCAACAATGTCGGGATGTTCGAGGTACAGTTGGTTTTACTCCTATACAAAAATGCATTGCTGCACTTTGTCAATTAGCGTATGCCACTTTCCCCGATGCACTAGAGGAGAACCTTAGGATGTCCAGACATACTGCATGAACTAGACTTCACAAATTTTGCAAGTATGTCATGAGATTATATGGTCCACGATATCTGTGCAAACCTACTTGTAGTGACATCCAACAATTGTATGTTCATCACTCAAATGTGCATGGCTTTCCTAGAATGTTAGGAAGCCTAGATTGCCTCCACTGGGCATAGGGTTGTTGTCCGAATGCCCATAAAGGGTAATACACCCGAGGCGATCATGGTTATCCAACAGTTATACTTGATACAGTGGCCTCACAGGATATGTGGATATGACATGCATTTTTTGGCTCAGCTGGCTTCTTCAATGACATTAATGTTCTTAACATGTCTCTGTTACTTGACGACATGTATAATGAGACTGCACCCGACTCATCCTTTGAAGGAGCTAAAACACCGTATAGGAATAGGTATTATCTTGTGGAATTTGATCTATCAGGAGTGTGCTTGTTTTGTGAAGTCATTGTCTTGTCCAAATGATCGCAAAATGTTGAAGTTTAAGAGAGCTCAAGAGAAGGCGAGAAAGGATGTTGAACGAGCATTTAGAGCTTTGAAAAAACATTGACATATTCATAAACAGCACACGCCTTATATGGAGGAGAAGAAAATGAGCGAGATGATGTATACTAGTATCATATTGCATAATATGATTCTCGAAGACGAAGGAAATGCAATATGTGAGTATAACGAAAACGAGATCGTTCCACCAACACAAACTTTTGAGGTTGGAAGCGTGGAGTACATGTTGAGGAGGGCAATAGTTCATGATGTTGAGACACATCATGTTCTTCATAGGGACTTGACGAAACATATTTGGAACATCGACCACATTGATCTTAACGCGAAACCGATCGACGATTTGGAAGGTCAATTTTCCGATGAAGATGTCATTTAGGTCTATCCAGATTGGTAATTTTAGTTTCTATTTTTTTGGTGTGTTTGTTGTATTTTAGAATTTCTATGTTTTTATTTTAAGTTTAATGAATTTTTAGTTTTTAAAAAATGCTATGTTTGAAATATTTACTTTGTATATTAAAAAAAGGTAGCATGACAAGTGTAGCAACTCGCGCATAGCAAATGACAAATTTTGGCTAAAGTGTGACATGGCGCCTACGTGGACAGTGGCAAATGTGACACCACACCCACCAGCCTGAGGTTGGAGGGAGTGGTTGCCACACTTGTCATGTTATTTTTTTTAATTAATTAATATAAAAAATAATCAAAGACAAAGTTTTATAGGTTTCGCAAATGAAATAACTAAATAAAATGCATTATATAAATGTAAAGAGGTTAAATTAATAATAATAATAATAATTAAAATTAATTAGATTTATTTAATATAAATAGGTTTTATAAGTTCACGAGGTATTGTGTAATTTCATGAAGTCAGTTTTGAAGAGATATTTCAACTTTGGGGTAGAATCTGTCATTGCACGAAGCTACAGGGACCGAATCTGCCAAAGTTGCAGAGCTAATTGTCTTTTTCTTTAGAGGGTGTTTGACTTAGCTTTTTAGAGGCGAAAAGTCCTTTTTGGAAAAGTTGCAAGAAGTCAGGTTTTTCTGACTTTTCCAAAAAGTTGATTTTCCCTATATCCAAAGTCCAAAAGTAGCTTTTAAAAGTGTTTTTACCAAACATCTTTTACCTTTTATCTTTTCCTAAAATGACTTTTGGTCTCTCAAAAGCTAAGCCAAACACCCCGTTAATAATACCCAAACTCCATACTCTTTCTCATCGGTAATTTTCCACCGAATTGTCGAGCTGACGACATGCTGAGTCCACTCCCACCAACCTAAGTTACAGTCCGAAGTCCGAAATCAGGGCCGGTCCGAACGTATATGGGGCCCGGGACGAAGAGAAAAAAAGGTTCCCTTAAAAACAAATATAATAAAGATTCAAAAAAATATAATTTATTCTTCACTATAAACGCGTTCAATTAGCAATAAGAAGCAAGCCAAATTGTTTATCTTTTGAGCTAGTTTGAGTTTGAACCAACTTTAGGCCCTAAAAATTATTTAGGTAATAACTTTTTTATATATATACATGACATAAACCAAAATTTTTGGGCCCTCCGGAGACGTGGGCCCTCGACGGTCGCCCGAGTTGCCCACCGTCTGAACCGGCCCTGTCCGAAACATTCAGGTATTCCGGAGTTTGAAAACCAATCTTTCTACATTCAAAAAATAGACAAAAAGTTAATAGAATTCCATGCAAAACGGTCTTTGGTCTTCGGAAATGGTTTATTTATTTATTTATTTTTTATTATGTAAAACATCTCTCAACCTTTGATCTCGTTTTAGCAATATAAAACTTTATTTTCTATTTTGCTGTAAACATAATCTTTAAAGATTACTTGACAAAACGTCATGTCACGGTTTTCATAAAAATATGAACATTATCAACAACATAAATTCACAAGTAACTTAGCTTAAACTAATGTGTGCATGACTTATTTATTTATTTTTATTGACCCACTCAATATAAATATATATTGAGTAGTCAATCTAATTTAAAGGTTTGAACAATCAACCCCTGTCTCTTTAAATATATTTCATTTTCTACTTTTGATTTACTTTGATTTATTTATTATTTATCTAAAATTTATAGATAAACAAATATATAATATATAAATATAATTATAGTAATATGTAAATCGTTTGTACGTGAATGAATGTTTATATTAAAATATGATGTGTTTAAAATACGATTAGTTAAACGAGGGAGTTTTATATAATATTTTAGATAGATAAGGATAAAATAGTTAAATTACAAAAAAAAAAGTCATAAAAAAGTTGAACCATTGGAGAAATAATTTAATTAGATGTCAAGTGAAGTGACAATAGTTTTGACCTATGATATAAGCTTACCATTAAAGATGCTCTTATCGTCTTTTATTCGAAAGGTCATTGTTTTGGGCTCGCATGTCACACCTGTGAAGTCGTAGGTCAAACCTATAAAATGTTTGTTTTTTTTTTCCTGAAATGTTTAGACATTTTGCACTGGAAATTTGTTTATCATGAAAAAACTTTTTTTTTTGTTTTATTTTTAAAATAAATTTAATATTCTTTTTTAGATTTGTCAATTTCTTGTTTTAATATAATTAATCAGCAGCTTTGAATGAAGTAATGATTTGATGATGCATTGTTTGATATGTGGGGCGACACTTTGTTTAATTTTGGTAAAGGGGAAGGACTTTATTTTGAAATTTTAGGTTACACCTACTTGAATAGTGAGATAATCATGGGCAACTGACATAAATGTAGTGGCAATAAATGATGGTAGGAGTTGGAGAACAAATCATGATTCACTTGTTTGAATTTGGGTACTAAAATGTCAAAAATCTTATTTATAATTTCCCAATTACACATCATCATATTAACACATGGGCGGGCCATGCCCCCTCAAATTCCAAAAATAAAATGTATAAAAAGTTAAAATTTTGTCTTATAATAAGATGATCATTTTACTATATTTAAATTAAAAAAAAACGTATTATATATTTCAGAGTGTATTGTCGAAACTATAGTGAAGTACATAATACGACATTAGGCTGAGGGGAGTGGTGTACAAGTCACCGAGCTCCACCTCAACCTACAACTTGTTTTGCCAACCAAGAGGAGTGGGAGAAGAGAAGGAGAAGAGAGAGTGACAATAGAATGTTGTGAAAAGAGAGGGTTGAGAGAGACTCGGTAATAAGATGTCAAGTTAGGGTGCCGAACTCGGGATGCTGAGTTCGCAAGGTGGTGTTTGCCGATTACATATCAGATTCGTCGAGGGTTCGTCTCTACTCCGCCTAGCCTTAGACTTGACTTCTAGTTTAGAGAAATTTGATCATATATCTTATTTCCTAGGTAAACAAATCCTCTTAACCTCTAGAAATTAGAATAAAAAAGTTATTAGCTCGATGGTGAGTGACGTTTATTTTGCGTTT